GGGGGTATCCAAGCTGTTTTTATTTAATTGCGCGCTGATACTGAGCATAAAGGAACTTCGTACCGAGTTTTTTATCTCATGATGGTTAACCGATGGGGCTTGGTAGTGCGGATGGTGTAGGGGAGTAAACATGCGGTTTCTTATGTAGCACCTGGTGCTAGGACTTAAATGGTAGTTCTCCCTTGTATGGGTGGTAGGTAGCATATAAACGTAGATGCTGAGTAATTGGGAACTGTCATTTCCCCAGCTAAATGAGAAAGTTTTCTTGAATGAGGCTTTGGTATGCGCTAAAGGAAACTATAATGTTTTACTTTGGAGTTTATTTCAAGATACAGATGTTTTCTGTATACCTTGGGGGACTGGGGACTGCTAATGTTCTTGTGAAACTATAGTGATGGTATAGTATGGGCTGCATTTGCATTGAAAATCAGCGCCGACACTAGGACTTGCGTATTATGGGAAAAAAATGTGGAAATTGTGTTAAACGAGGCTATGAGTTTCAATGGGGATTTATCAGGGAAGTGAGAAATTACGTTACCCGTAGGAAGTTCGTAAATTGAGGTAAGCCTGCTGTATTAGTATTGCAATACTTAGGGGTGATGGGGGATCACGCAGTAGAGTCCAAAACATGGTGACAGAGGTTCTGGGAATCCTGAAACATTGCAGGACATGAGCTGTGTAGCGTGGGTTGGGCGTATCTGGCTATTTACACTGATATAGTTTGCCCAGGGGACCTAGGAATGGATGGTGCGGGTGGCCACAGACATTACAGGCTGTCTTTATTGTTCAACAGTCTGAGTGGGGTGTAATCCAGATGGGTAGCACTAGCGGGTCTCAAAATGCTTAGCTGGTTGTGTACTTTGAATTCCCAAACCACAGAAAGTATTTGCATGATCTGCAGTGTTGACTACCCCTACATGACATGTGCTGGTGGACAGTGATTGTAGTGGTATCTTATGATTTGGGTCTTGGGGTGGGGTAGCGTTGATATGGGAATTAGAATCGAGGCTTTTTAGGTCTGTTCCAAATCACCTGTTAAAGTATGTATCTTATGTTGGAATGATCGACCACGGGGAGGGGATAAAGGCCTGGGACTAAATAATTGATTGGTGAATTCTGGTTTGCAGCTCCACATCCTTTAGGAAAGAATATGTTAAACCATGAGGGAGTTGGAGGGTGAAGAGATGGATTAGAAAAAAAATATGAGAATGGAGTTCCCGTCCCCCCCATATCCATAACAGACCTTATCTGAGCATGCAGGATACCGCATGCCTTCTAGGATTTATTTTCTTTGTCGATTGCCTGTTGGTTCACACTAGATGTGATTTAAAATTGTTTCTTTTTGTTGGCAAATTTCACCTTGTTTCTAGTAGATTTACCAATGATGCTATTGCGTTTTCAATTGTGTTTTGCATTCGATTTTATTGTAGTCTAAATTAAATCACTACAAAATGTGAAAAAGTTAGACGAGAACTACTTTTGAAATTGTGCTGCAGCAAATCGCTTAAATTTAAACACTCACTCCCATTCATTAAATCGGGTATCAGTACTTTTAAATTTTCCCCAAAATTTCACCGAAATTTTCACCCTGGACGATTGGGGAGCGATTTGCATGGCATGCGACTTCAAAATTTAATCCAAGTCGCACCCCATTGTTTCTATCAGCAGTCACATGGGTGCTTTCCCACACTGATTTCTAAAGTATACATTAACTTTTGTGAAAAGATTTGCATAGATATCGGTCGATGCTTGCAAAAACGCAAGGAATCGCATCTTCATTCTCGCAACCTTTTTAAATCGGCTTTGATTTACCGCGGGTAAGGCTTTTTTTTGTTTTTTCCTGAGTTTTTTTCCGATTTATGGAAATGCCGCATACTAGCAAAAGTGAATTGAATTTTTCAGTATTGCATGGAGATGTGGTCATGTGACTGCCTTAATCATCGATAATTGGGGGTGAATTGTGCCCATAGGGCCAAGCAATATTGCCAATAGGGTTCCCTTTTACTTTTCCGTTCAATGTTCTGTTGTTGCTGTACAAGGACACTTCACTTTGGGTTTCTTTCTGACTCTGATTTTGGGGCCTGTATACCAAGGTTTTAAAACAGGGGGAAGAGGATCAGGGGCAAACACTTTTTTGCCAAATGAATGACTTGGTGGGTGTGTCCCCCCTTAAAAAGGAATAAATTGGGGGGCTGATTTTGGGCCTTGTATGGCACATATTTCTGCATGTCCTTTTGGGGTGGTGGGTTTGGGGGGGGAAGAGATATTTAGGATTGCCCCAGGGCCCCACTCACGCTTTTTTGATGTTTCTGTAAAGTTTTTTTCATGTTCTTCCCTCAAGGTTTTTTTTGGGTTTTTTTTTACAAAAATTTTGTTTATTCCTTTGCATTTAAAACCTAACACATTCCATTGTCTCTCTTCAAGTTTGTTTTTTTGAAAGAAATCATTTTCAGACAACATGGTGAAAAAGTAAAATGTGAGGGGGTTTTTTGGGGGGGGGGAAAGGGTTTTTTAATTTTGGCATGTATTTAAATTTTATATGGTATTTTGATCGCAGCTTTTGTGAATAACCCCAATGATATTAACCGTTGGTTTTCCCGAACCTTGAAGCACAAGTTTTTTATAAATTAATCTTTTTGATTGTAAGCTCTTTGGCAGGACCGTTCTATTTTTTCAACATCAAACCGCTTTTTTTTTTTTTTTTTTCCCCACACCAAGATATTGAAAGGCTTTTTGTTGCTGTCCAAATAAATTGGAATTTGGGATTTGATCAATAAACATTTTACTATGAAATTTTTTTGGGGGGGTTATTTAATGTTCTAATTGTATGTTTCACATTGGCTAAATGGTTAGCACTTCCACCTAGCTTTTAGGGTTGTTGGGTTTAAATCCCACCCATCACCTCCTGCCTGGGTTGCATGTTCTCCCTGTGCCTGTTTCCTCTGGGGACCTTTGGGTTTTCCCCCCACACCTAAAGCTGTGGTAGGTTTAATGGGGTCCTTCAAAATTGGGCCCCAGTAAGTATGAATGAAGTTAGTGCTCTTAGTAAAGCGCTGGGAATTAAGAGCGTATATAATTTTCGAATTGTACTACAGCCCTAACACTTATTTTTGCTAAACTATATAATATGCCCAAATTTCCTTGTGAAGCGCACATTGCAAATATTCCAAAATAACAAACGAAAGCCCCCTTTGCATGACAAGCCATGTTAGTCCAATGAATAAGTTTTTGTTCAATGGGGACTAGCAAATTTTTTTTTACAATCCTTTAACGAATAAATTGGCCCCCAATTTTTGTTGCTTGGGCCTTATGGCAAAAAATTTATTGCCAATCCATATACACAAGTATATTGCAAGCATACCTTTCCCCCAATGCCAAATCTTCAATAGAACTGCAAAAATATATTTCGAATTCATATAACAATGGAGCGCATGTAAAAATTGCTATGGGGCACAATAAACACCAATGGCTGTTGGAGGGGGTGATAAGCAGCTGTCATACCGGAAAAAATCAGACGTTTTCGGAAGGATTTGCACACCCCCCGGAAGTGTAAGTGTATGGGATGTATTAGGAGAGTTTAGAGGTAAAATTTCAAGTCTCTTTTTTTTTTGTTTTGTGAAATTTTTCCCTTTGTGGAATTTCCGCCACTTGGGCCCTGGCGAGATCCTTTTTCTACACGGAGGGGCTGATCCTCATTTTCTGGAAAACATTACTAATAATTGTATTTTTCCCTTTTAAACATTCCAATTCCTAGATCCATTGAGGGACAAGGGGTTCAAGGTTTTCCTAAATATAAGGTGGTACAGACACAAGCAACACCCAGGGCCACTGTTAGATATCAGGGGGCCCTTTTGTACGAAAAACCTGAAACCCCCCCACAGCCGGGAAGGAAAATACCCAAAATTTAAATATTTATGTTAAAAATACACTAAAAACATTATTAATGGACAAAAACCCCACCATATTCCCTGTAAAAATCAAAATGAAAAAAACGAAATTTTCATAAAATAAAGCTGGGGTGAAGGGGGTTTTTTTAAATTTTTTTTTTTTTTTTTTTCCTAACTCATTAATTTCAATGGCCTCCCTTTAAAAAGTGGGAACCAAGCAAAAATTCTGCAGGATTTTAAATTTTAAAATTTGTGTTGCACCAAACGGGTGACATTAAAAAGGGGCATTGCATTTTTTTGGGTGTGCTGGAAAATGTGGTTCTTGCTTGGGGTTTCTGCACCCCCAATGGTTTTAAACAACCCCCAAAAAGGGGGCCCAGTTCACACTATAAAAAACAGTTAGATGTTTTCCCTTTAAATGGGGTTTTTGCTTGCCCTTTTTGGCATGCATTTTTTTAGGGGTGTTCCAGTACATTTTGGATCTTTTTGGACACGTTGCTTTCAATTTTTTTTTATCCCTTCCATTTTGTTTGTTCTTTTTTTAAATTAAATTTAAATTTTTGTTTTTTAGTACTTTAAAGGGAAATTTTCCCCAATTTTCCCCCCCCCCGAAAACAGTTCTGTAGCCCCTTGCAGCAAGCGGTGGTCAACTTTGTTAAACCAGCACCTGCAATGCCCCCTAAAAAATAAAAAGGCTGATGTAAACCCTAGGGACATTTGCAACCACAAAACCCTTCTTTCTTTTGCGTTTGGGGGAGGGGCCAAAAAAAAGAAAACCTGAAAACACATGAAGTTTTGAACGGGGCTTTAAGGTTTTAGGAGGTCAAGGGGAACGGGGAAAATTTTTTGACCGGGGGAATTTGGGGTGGGAATTAAAAAAATAGACTAGGGTTTTTGAGTTTTAAAAACAATCAGAAATTGTAAAATTAATGTGAGTCTGAGCTGTAGCTGATAGAAAATGAAAAAATTCACTAGAGATGACGAAGTTTTAAAAAATTCAATTCGACTGTTTTTTGGGGGAAAATTCTTTGGAAAAAAAATTTCGATTCGAGTCGAATATATTCAGCTGCGAATTACTTATTTAAAAGGGTGTTACTAGGCTTCAGAGAGCCTTTATATTAGTGCAGAACACTGTACCTTTAATTTAATGCCTTGGAGTCTGTGGGGAAGAGAAATAAATACTACAGTACAGGTATGACATGAAAGATGAGTTGCCGGTCGATCTTTAGATTCACCGCACACTTCACCTCATTTGGGCAGTCACGGGGCCAAAAAATAATCCCAGGGTGTGGAGCCACAGTGTGGCGGTGGAGGCTGCAAGCAATGGAGCCATACAAGCACCTATGACAAAAATGGAACCCACCAGCAGGTGAGGAGACCTGAAAGTGGCACATGGCAGAGTGGATGTGGCGATGGAGACAGCAGCAAATGGGAGGCCGTGTACGTACAGGGGACCCATGACCACTCTGGACCTGATGCTAGCAGCATGAGGAGCAGCGGGTGTTACAGGGGCCCATGACAGATTACGGGCCTGGCAGCAGCTCATGAGGAGATCGGTGACACGCCAGCACCCTCATGCACAATGGAACCCACCACGCCTGAGGCAGAAGAAAGTGGCTACATGTTGGGCGCATGTTTCAGATTTACGTCAGCCTGTGTCAGAATGGGCCTTGAGAATCCAGATAGGAGTACAGCATGTATGGTTACCAGACTTACCAATCCGATGCTCGCCAAACTTGATGTTCTTGGAAGGATTCCATGACAAGTCTTCTGACATCCGTGAGCACACTCTCCAGCCATTAGTTGGGAACCTGAAGGTCATACTTTTTGCCACAGACAAGCGACAACAGGGGAACCATGAACAGGATTACGGGCTCCTGGCCAGCAGCATGAGGAGTAGGTACGGGTAAGCCCATGGCAGATTAGCCTCCTGGCCTCGCCAGCAGCTTACTAAGGGAGGCCCGTAATCACTCTGCCAGCTCACCCTATGTACGAAAAACATGGAAAAGCCACTTCAGCACTGGCTGTGAGGATCAGACCTTCCAGTGGCCCATGGCAGAGTGTGGCGATGAGGAAAGCTCGTAAAGCTGACGACATTTTATGCTGAAGGCATCTCGTACTCGGGACCCATGACAGAGACTGCTTATGGACTCCCCCTGGCTCAGCATGTTACAAGATGGGAAGGCGGTATGACCAGCCTTCTAAGCGGCCATTAGGCGCCCGATGGCAGCGAGTTTAAAGCAGTTAATCTGAAGGGCCCAGCAAGAGTATGCACAGCTAATCAAACGTTGGGCAAAGATACAAAAGTGTTAGGTTATTGGCCCTTTCGCTGCACCATAATTCACTGAGATAGGTTTTCAAGGTCGGATTGTTTAGTCAACTTATGTGTCAGGAACTGGTGGTTTGAAATCCAGACTAATCCACGCTGATTCATTTTCACAAACGTGAGTCTCTCCACACTTTGGGTGGTCTATCAGTCGTGAGTCCTCCGCGGAGTTACCACAATACCTCTGCCGCACTAAAAGCGCTCCTGATGCCACATACTGGCCTGATCGGCATTAGACAGCCTTTCAAAGGGCAAATTCAGCTTAGTTGGGGCCAAAGGTTCAAGTTTCGTTGGTGCCAGTAGTCAAGGGGATTGTCTACCTCGGTTTGGGCCAGGGTGTGTGTCCAAGTTGCCCCGCTAAGCCTGTTGTTTGAGGTCCTGCTCCAGGTTTCCACCTGATGCTCCTGCGGCTGCGTGCTGGGTTAGTAGTTTGTCCTCACTGCGCTGGTGACATGAAAGCTACTCATCATCGACTGCACGGACTGAGGGTTGCCGCGCTGCTGCTGGTGGTAGTGCACAGCTGCATCCTACCACCCCACCCCTCCCCTGCTGCTACATGCAGCGGAACGCGTGAGCGACAGGGCCCTTACTCAGTGTCTGAGATGGACGTTGGCGACGCGAAAGGCAGAGGACCAAGCTGACTACATAGGTGGTTTTTATAGTACGTTATTTTGGCCTCCCTCTCAGCAGGTGTGAAAAAGGCCACCATTTTTGAACGGTTTAGCGAGGGCAAATCCAACAAGGTGGACAGCAAAAAGTCATCCCTCTGTCTGATGGTTATTATTCGGCTGTCGCTACGCAAGCAAGCGAGCATGCTATGGGCACATTTGTTGTGCGCAAGGAATGCGAGGGATTTTGCGGAGGACTCCTTGCTTGCTCCATCTCCACAGCATACTGCCACGGTGCGTCTGGGGTCACTCTTGTCTCCTCCTCCTGCTTCCTCTACTTACAGATGCTCCTGCTCCATCCACTCCTGTGCTCGAGTGGAGTGGAAAAATCCACCCATTTCACTCATATAATTCCTGAGCACCAATGTCCTCCTCTACCTCCTCCTCTTCTTCCTGTCCTGCCCCCACAGGGGTCTCATGTGGCGTTGAGATCTGTGCGCCACGTCTACCGCACCCTGACCAGCCATTGTTAACAGCATTTGTTCCAGGACGTGCAACAGAGGAATGACGTCGTTCATCCCAGAACCCTGCCCCATAAGAGACTCACGAATAGCGTGTGCGTGGCCTCCTCAAAGGGCCTGAGCAAGCGGCAGGTGTCACGCATGAGCTGCCAATGGCTGACATCTAAGTTTACACAGGGAGTACCTTTATCCCACTTTTAGTCATCAGGAAATCGTGATGGCCTTTTCGCTGTTCGTAAAGGCGGTCTCTAACATATGTAGGTTGAATTCCTCCTTGTTGCAACGTCAAGCATGAGGGAGTCGGTGCGATGGCCCATGGCAGATTTACGGGCTGGCAGCAGCATATGGGAGGGCCCTAAATCCATGCCAGCACACCTATGACAAAAAATGTAAACACAAGGTTTTCCAGCAGGTGTGGAGATCCTTTTTACCAGTACTCATGAACAATTGGCAAGAACAGCAATGGCAGCATTGTGACGATGGAGCAGCAGAAATGGGAGGCCGTACAGGGACCATGAGAGGACTCTGGACCTGGGCAGCAGCATGAGGAGGCGGTACAGGGGGGCCCGATGGCAGATTAGGGGCTGGCAGCAGTATGGGACCCGTAATCTGCCAGCACCCTTAGTCAAACAAAAGGAACACACCAGCAGTGTGTGAGGAGACCTGAAAAGAGTGGCACATGGCAGAGTGTGGCGATGGAGACAGCAGCAATGGGAGGCCGTACAGGGACCCCATGAACACACTCTGGACCTGGCAGCAGCATGAGGAGGGCGGTTACAGGGGCAGCCCCATGGCAGATTAGGGGCCTGGCAGCAGCTATGGAGGCCCGTAATCTGAAGCCAGCACCCTCTGTCAAAAAATAACACACCAGCAGTGTGAGGAGACCTGAAAGTGGCACATGGCAGAGTGTGGCGATGGAGACAGCAGCAATGGGAGGCCGTACAGGGACCCATGAGACACTCTGGACCTGGCAGCAGCATGAGGAGGCGGTACACAGGGGCCCATGAGCAGATTAGGGGCCTGGCAGCAGCTATGGGAGGCCCGTAATCTGGCTGCCCTATGACAAAAAATAGAACACAGGCAGCAGTGTGATGGGAGACCTGAAAGTGGCGAGTGAGAGACACATGGGCATGCAGACACTGTGGACCTGGCTTGCAGCATGAGGAGGCGGTATACAGGGGCCCATGGCAGATTAGGGGCCTGGCAGCAGCTATGGGAGGCCCGTAATCTGCCAGCACCCTATGTCAAAAAAATTCCTGCAACACACCAAGCAGTGTGAGGAGACCTGAAAGTGGCACATGGCAGAGTGTGGCAGATGGAGACAGCAGCAATGGGAGGCCGTTACAGGGACCCATGAGAGACTCTGGACTGGCAGCAGCATGAGGAGGCGGTTACAGGGGCCCATGGCAGATTAGGGGCCTGGCAGCAGCTATGGGAGCCCGTAATCTGCCAGCACCCTATGTCAAAAAAATTGAACACACCAGCAGTGTGTGAGGAGACCTGAAAGTGGCACATGGCAGAGTGTGGCGATGGAGACAGCAGCAATGGGAGGCCCGTACATGGGGGACCCATGAGAACACTCTGGACTTGGCAGCAGCATGAGGAGGTGAAGGGGCCCATGGCAGATTAGGGGCCTGGCAGCAGCTATATGGGAGGCCCGTAATCTGCCAGCACCCTATGACAAAAAATGGGAACACACCAGCAGTGTGTGAGGAGACCTGAAAGTGGCATCATGGCAGAGTGTGGCGATGGAGACAAAGCAGCAATGGGGGCCGACAGGGACCCAAGAGACCAACTCTGGACTTGCAAGCAATGAGGAGGGCGGTATAGGGGCCCATGGCAGATTAGGGGCCTGGCAGCAGCTATGGGGAGGCCCGTAATCTGCCAGCACTATGTCAAAAAAATTGAAAAACAAAAAGCTGTGTGAGGAGACCTGAAAGTGGCACACCAGAGTGTGGCAGGGAGACAGCTGAAAGGGAGGCCGTACATGGGCATGAGAGACTGTGGACCTGGGGCAGCAGCATGAGGTGAGGCGGTACAGGGGCCCATGGCAGATTAGGGGCCTGGCAGCAGCTATGGGAGGGCCCGTAATCTGCCAGCACCCTATGTCAAAAAAATGGAACACACCAGCAGTGTGTGAGGAGACCTGAAAGTGGCACATGGCAGAGTGTGGCGATGGAGACAACCCACCGACTGTTTTGCTCGCTGCCAAGCTGCCACCCTCTTCACCTGATGATGCGGAAGCAAAGCAATAGCCTGATGACGACGAGGCTGCCAAGTTTGCGATCAGCCTCATCATCATCAATTAGGGTCTCCGCCTCACTACTAGCCCCCTCGGCTGCGTGTGGGTCAGGAGACAGACCTGTCTCTAGACCGGCTACCGAGCCACTCTCCTCGCCACTACTTCTTCGCCTGGCTGCTGAAGAGGCGGATGTCTCCCCCCGTTCCTGACCGCCCTCTGTTAGCTCTTCCTCACTGTACTGGATGACACCGGGAGCACTGGCTCTGGCTGCGAATAGTGCTGCCTCGACCCCTTCCTCTGCTGCCACGTCTGCTCGCTCCTAAAACATTGCCTCCTCTGCCACTCCTCTGCATGTTGTCTGACATACTCTTTAATTCAACGATTCTGTGTCCCTGAGTAACAATTCTGTGTCTGTCCCTGAGTAACAATTCTGTGTCCCTGAGTAATGTTTCTGTGGCCCTGAGTAACAGTTTTCTGTGGCCCTGAGTAACAGTTCTGTGGCCCTGGTAGTACATTCTGTGGCCCTCAGTAACAATTCTGTGTCCCCTCAGTAACAATTCTGTGTCCCTCAGTAACAATTCTGTGTCTGTCCCTAGTAACAATTCTGTGTCTGTCCCTGAGTAACAATTCTGTGTCCCTGAGTAACAATTCTGTGTCTGTCCCTGAGTAACAATTCTGTGTCTGTAACCCCTGAGTAACAATTCTGTGTCCCATCAGTAACAATTCTGTGTCCCCTCAGTAACAATTCTGTGTCTGTCCCTCAGTAACAATTCTGTGTCTGTCCCTGAGTAACAATTCTGTGTCCCCTGAGTAACAAGTCAATTCTGTGTCCCTCAGTAACAATTCTGTGTCTGTCCCTGAGTAAAAATTCTGTGTCTGTCCCTGAGTAACAATTCTGTGTCTGTCCCTGAGTAAGAATTCTGTGTCTGTCCCTGAGTAAGTAATTCTGTGTGTCCCTAAGTAACAATTCTGTGGCCCTAAGTAACGTTTTCTTCTAAAGTGTGCTGTGGCCCTCAGTAACAATTCTGTGTGTCCCTCAATAACAATTCTGTGTCTGTCCCTAAGTTAACAATTCTGTGGCCCTAAGTAACAATTCTGTGGCCCTAAGTAATGATTCTGTGGCCCTCAGTAACAAATCTGTGTCCCTCAGTAACAATTCTGTGTCTGTCCCTAAGTAACAATTTCTGTGGCCCTAAGTAGTAACGATTCTGTGTGGCCCTCAGTAACAAATCTGTGTCCCTCAGTAACAATTCTGTGTCTGTCCCTAAGTAACAATTCTGTGGCCCTAAGTAACGATTCTGTGGCCCTCAGTAACAATTCTGTGTCTGTCCCTAAGTAACAATTCTGTGGCCCTAAGTAACGATTCTGTGGCCCTCAGTAACAATTCTGTGTCCCCTCAGTAACAATTCTGTGGCCCTAAGTAACGATCTGTGGCCCTCAGTAACAAATCTGTGTCCCTCAAACAATTAAGTAACTGTGGCCCTAAGTAACGATTCTGTGGCCCTCAGTAACAATTCTGTGTCTGTCCCTAAGTAACAATTCTGTGGCCCTAAGTAACGATTCTGTGGCCCTCAGTAACAAATCTGTGTCCCTCAGTAACAATTCTGTGTCTGTCCCTAAGTAACAATTCTGTGGCCCTAAGTAACGATTCTGTGGCCCTCAGTAACAAATCTGTGTCCCTCAGTAACAATTCTGTGTCTATCCCTAAGTAACAATTCTGTGGCCCTAAGTAACGTTTCTGTGGCCCTAAGTAACGATTCTGTGGCCCTCAGTAACAATTCTGTATCCCTCAGTAACAATTCTGTCTGTCCCTGAGTAACAATTCTGTGTCCCTAAGTAACGTTTCTGTGGCCCTAACTAACGATTCTGTGGCCCTAAGTAAACGTTTCTGTGGCCCTAAGTAACGATTCTGTGGCCCTAACTAACGTTTCTCTGTCCCTAAGTAACGTTTCTGTGTCCCTAACTCTCTCCCTGCATACAGCCAGGTCTGCCTCTGTTGAATGACTGGAGGCAAATGGAGAATTCTAAAATGGCCGCTATTTATAGCTCGACCATTACACTGTGCTGGCTGGCTGGCTGCTGATTGGCTAATGCGATCACATGTCATGAATGAATGCATTATGGGTCAGCGCGCGCCTTGTCTGCGCGCCTTCCCAGACATCCCCGCTCCGTCGCCGCACATGTTGCCGCCATTTTATGAAAAATTTCGATTCGCGCATCCGAAGTCTGCTTATTTTCGGATTCGACGCGAATCGAAAATTTTCCTAATATTCGAAACGAATTCCACTTCGCCTACTTCAATTCGCTCATCTCTAGTTATGATCCTGGCAAATTGGAGATGGTTTGGTTTGAAGTAACTAAGAAGCATATAGGAGGAAGAAGAATAAATGTTGCGGTGAAAAATAAACAAAAGGAAAAAGAGAAATTAGATTATGCATTCATCTCCAATAATAGTTGTCAATTTAGGGGTCAAAATCTTTACCAAGTAATTATAGATCTGTTAGTTTAACTTCTATAGTTGGGAAGATACTGGAGAGTTTAATAAAAGACCACATGGATGAATTCTTGGTGGGAAAAAATATTTTAAGCAACAGACAGCATGGATTCATGAAAGACAGAAGTTGTCAAACAAATCTGATTTCTTTTTATGAGGGGGTGAGCAAAACCTTGGACAGTGGGGTGGGCGGTGGATGTGGTATACTTGGATTTTGCTAAAGCGTTTGACACAGTTCCCCACACACAGCTAATGTGTAAGGTAAAGTCTACGGGCTTTGAAAAATCCATATGTAAATGCATAGAAAACTGGCTAAAAGATTGTATTCAAAGTGTAGTGGTTAATGATTCATACTCTGAATTGTCTAGTGTTCTCAATGGTGTACCCCAAGGTTCAGTGTTGGGACCCTTACTTTTTAATATATTTATAAACTATATAGGGTCTGGGATTAAAAATCCCATTTCAGTCTTTGCAGATGACACCAAGCTGTGCAGTGGAATAACGTCCTTACAGGATGTCTTCAATTTACAAGCCGACCTCAATGCACTGTTTAATTGGGCAACTATGTGGCAAATGAGGTTTAATGTTGACAAACGTAAGGTTATGCACTTGGGGGCTAGCAATATGCATGCATCATACATACTAGGGGGGGTACAACTGGGAGAATCAATGGTGCAGAAGGATCTGGGAGTTCTGGTAGATCACAAGCTTAATAATGGAATGCAATGCCAAGCTGCGGTTTCTAAAGCGAGCAAAATCCTCTCTTGTATTAAAAGAGGTATAGACTCCAGAGAGAGAGATATCATATTACCCCTGTACAAATCATTAATAAGACCTCATATGGAATATGCAGTTTTGGGCACCAATTCACAAAAAGAACATTGGGGAACTGGAGAAGTACAGAGAAGGGCAACCAAATTGATAAGAGGCATGGAGGAGCTCAGCTATGAGGAAAGATTAGAGGAACTGAATTTATTCTCTCTTGAGAAGAGGAGATTAAAGGGGGATATGATCAACATGTATAAATACATCAGTGGTTCATATAGTGAACTTGGTGTAGAGTTATTCACCCCAAGGTCATCACAGAGGACAAGGGGGCACTCTTTACATCTGGAGGAAAGGTTTCTTCACAGTAAGAGCTGTGAAAATGTGGAATAGACTCCCTCAAGAGTTGGTTCTGGCCAGCTCAGTGGATTGCTTCAAAAAAGGCCTGGATT